TGAAAATCCATTTTTTTAAATAGAACATGCATACTTTTTTTTCAGATTCAGATTCTACGGTAAAAAATACGAAAATTTCATAAGAAGAATTTTTTGAAAAAAGTTGATATTTGACCTCTAATTGACGTCTGAAGTCTGTAATCCACCAGTTCGTACTCAAGCTGCGAAGATGCACGTTTTAACAATGGAATAGGATAATGTGGCTCCTCTAAGAGGTTTTCGGGGTCGCTGAGTCCGAATCCAAGGTGAGTTTGATCTTATCAGGTCATTTTGAGGTCAATTCAAGGTCATTTAGAGGTAAAATAAAAAAAATATTAGATTTATCAAGAATGAAGTACTTTTAAAATTTTAGCCTTAATATTACAAAAATATGAATCTCGTCGTTTTTTCATTTATTCTTGTTATTATTAATCTATGTATTTACATGTTGTTACTGCAACGAAATCTATTATGTTTTGAGAATAAAGATTTTTATCTCGCTAAACTAATTTATTTTGGAATTTCATTTCCTCTAATTTCATAAAAGTACGCTATATAAATACTTTTAGCAAAACATTTATTTGAATTGTAAGCTTACTGGTTTATCACAACAACGGTCAACAAGTTCATAGAATATCTCAACATTACCATTAACAGCGAAGGAAAAGTATTATTATTTATTTTTTATATTATATTATATATTTATATTAAAACAATGTAAATTTTTCTAATTATTTATATTTTATATTATATATTTAAAAAATTGTATAATTGTAATAAAAATTATAATTAATTGTATTAATAAAAATGTTAAAATAAAATTTCCAGTTTAAATATAATTTAAATAATTATATTTTTATTTAACCTAACCTAAAAAGTAGCTGTAAAAATTTCGGAATGTGTAGTCACAATGCAAGCATAATGCAAGCACGGCGTACTGCAGAACGTGCAAGCATAATAACGGCTCGATGCGCGCATGACGTGACAATCGTAGGTTATCGTACGTGGAGTCTCAACTCTCACCACATATGCGCATACACGTGCGTACAACGGCGTACAAACGCGTACAAATAGCTAAAAATTTTGATAGTGCCAACAACAGAAAGTTACTACTATTCCACCGATGCGAAAACAGCCCGACACAAATAACATTTTATAAAAAAAATAATCATATCTCACGTATATCTAATTGTACTTCTCGAAAAAATAATTATTTGTTATTGTACCATTATATTTCTCATAAAAAATATCGTTATCGATAATTCACCTCCTATTTATTCACATAAAAGACATAATTAAGCAAAAATAAAATCACAGAAAATTTGTACCTTCTGTAGTCTAAATTGTACCATCAGTACAATTCTATAAATTTGTTTCTAAAAGAAATAATAGGACAATTACAAAGCTCTACGCCTGCGCAAAGTGCATTTCCAGATGACATCCTTGTAAGTTGTAACAATTAGTGGTAATTTGTAATTGTCCTATTATTTCTTTTAGAAACAAATTTATAGAATTGTACTGATGGTAAAATTTAGACTACAGAAGGTACAATTTTTCTGTGAATTTATTTTTGCTTAATTATGTCTTTTATGTGAATAAATAGGAGGTGAATTATCGATAACGATATTTTTTATTTTTTATGAGAAATATAATGTTACAATAACAAATAATTATTTTTTCGAGAAGTACAATTAGACATACGTGAGATGTGATCATTTTTTCTTATAAAATGTTATTTATGTCGGGCTGTTTTCGCATCGGTACTATTCCTCATATGCCCCAAACGAACACACTTACTCCCAGATTAAATGTATCATAACCTTCAGTAATATAGCGTTATAATACGTTTGTTCCGGGAGTGTGTGTTCGTTTGGGACATGCGAGAAATAGTAGTAACCCTGCTAAAAAAGTTCCATTCATTCCTATTCGGGATCATTCATATTCAATGGTAATCAATGAACTGAATGGTTCAATGTTCCGATGACGATTGAAACTGAATGATTTTCAATAATACTTCATGGTAAGCATAACTAATAGTAAAACTTACCATTAAATTTAATAGAATTCAATCTTTCTGAATAATACTTTGTATAGGAATGGTTTCAATGATAATCTATCCAATTGCATTGAATGAATATCAATCACAGTTCAATAAAATAATTAATCAATGATATTTTATTGTATATCTTTCTATGAATTTTAATAATTTTTCGATACAATAATTGTCCAATCATATTTTATTGAATCATATTATATGGATATTAATTTTTATCCAATTACACGGTTGGTCAATAATATTTTATAGAATGGTTTTCCATATATGCCAATATGAGCAAAAGCAATACTGTAACTTTAGCAATATTTCATTTAATAGTTTTTTTTTTAATCTTAATGATTGGTCAATATAAAAATAACCCAATCGCATTCAATGAGGTATAGTATTCTATAATTTCTTATGAAAGGCAAACAAAAAAATTTCAAATATTTTCAATTGAATATTTTTTAATGAAATCTAATGATTGGTAAATGCAAGTAAAACTCAATCGTATTCTATTGAGAAGTTGTTTGTATAGTTTTGAATAATCCTTCATTCTACAAACTTATCAAATATAATTTTATTCTATAATTTTTCATTAGATGATGAAAGAAAAAATTTCCATAATTGAATGATTTTTTATAAATTTGAATAGTTGTTCGATACTATAATTGAAGAATCGTATCTTATGCTTTGGATATTATAATTTTATATAGGTCATGAATGAAAAAACTCCGTATATGATTTGATTGAATAGACTTTTATCAATTTTAATAGTTTTTAAGTAAAAACATATTCGAATATAATTTTTAATGGGTATTCGATTTTTTTTCAATTGTAAATAAATGGTTTTTTATGTACATCAACAAATTACAAAAATTGACATGAACATTATTATTGGATTTCAAATGAATTGGGCATTTTGCATAAATATCTAGCATTTCTAACGTCTACCAAAATTATTTTGCAATCTATTTCACCAATGGGTTTGATGAGATCAATCTCGTTTTCGCTTTGAATTTTTCGGATATGAGTCACTCCTTCAAATGGATATTCTGGAAATACGTTGTACGTTTGTACAACAATGTATGAATCGTCGTCATGTTCGAGAATTTTTGTTACTCTAGCGTATTGTCCACTAGTAAGTCTAACGACAGTATCATCATTGCGATAAAAGACCATTAATACCCATTCAATTAGATTGATATTTTCTATTGCATATTATTGAAATGTTAGGACTTTCATATTCAAAACTATTGAAAATTATTCAACGATACGAGACTTGAATGTTGCAATAACAAACCATTGATATCAATTCAATCAAATTGATTATCGCATTCGAATGGTTTCAAATCTTCGATTTGACCACGAATTTTACCATTGAAATCGATTGGGTAACATACATGAGAAATTTCATTGAATCCTATTGAAAACCATTACTTTAATAGTATATTTTTCTATTGATAATGATTAATCTCGATTAGGAATCAATAGTAATCTATATTATTGGAACCAATAGTATTTAATATCTTGACATTTCTTGTTGGATGAGGAATCATATTCAATGGTCATTTGGAGTGTTCAGATCGAAGATTGAAAACCATTCAGAAATTCTTCAATGGTTTTCAATGGAACTTTTATAGCAGGGAACTTTCTGTTGTTGGCACTATCAAAATTTTTAGTGATTTAAACGCGTTTGTACGCCGTTGTACGCACGTGTATGCGCATATGTGACGAAGGCCACAATGCTGGCATTATGCGGATGTACTCTCTCTGCCATCAGAATGCCAGCACGCAAGGCACGCCGTGCCCGCATTGTGACAGTATCGTGCCGTCACTGTGTTATCTGGGATCTATCTCGCTAGATAAATTTACAAATTTTCCCGGAATGGTTAACAATTGGTATGATAGGAAGTTATATTGCCGACACTCAACCAGTTATCATCGATCGTGCGGTCTTTAATATCGACGTGATAGAAATTAAAATCTTAATTTTAAGCTATCAAACATAAAAATTCAGCAATACTTATTAGAGTAAACGATCCTGTTCATGTACTGAGGAAAATCGTAATTTTCACGCATTTTCCGATGATGAATCAAAAATAGAAAATTATTACCGATATCTAGGACAATGAATACCGTTGTCAAAGTATTTCATCAATTTCCCTTACAATCGAGAGGGGGCTACCTTCACAATCCTTTGACCTCTGTGCTGGGCAATACTTGGCTATTTCAAACAGTATAAAACATCAAATTATCAATTTTGTTCAAAGTTGGTAGACTTGTTATCTATACAGAGGTCAACATCTGTGCAGAGTTTTAGATCAAAATATTGATAAGGGGCCGACTTATCAACTGTTGAAAAAATATTGGACTTTTTTTTATTAATTCGATTTCTCGGAGACTAATAAAGATATGGACATGATTCTTTTTTTAAAAGAAGCGGAAAGAGTTTCACTTTTAAAATGTAAATAGTAAAATACCAAATCATTAATTTATGTCATTGTTATAAACAATTTTTTCAAAAAATCGACGATATCTTAAAAAACGATATTTTTTTCTTTTAATTTTTGCACCATCGTGTTCCTTGTCATTTTTTACATAAGAAATCGTTGAGAAAATCAAGTGCCCGCTATTAGGATTAAGACAGCACTAAAATAAAACGAACCGCGCGCTAACCGCTCGGCCGCTCGAACGTCCGCTACTCGTGCGGTTCCAACGTTGCTTGCGGCAAATGCCTTTAACGAATAAATAATTCCATATTCTATCAGTCTATATGTATTTATTGAAATAATATATAAATTAGTTAATTAAATAAGTAATTAAATTTAAATTAAATGTAATTTAAGGCTTATTAACTTAATATAACATAATATAAAGTAATCTGAGTAAAGTAATATAAATAATATAAATGAACTATTGTTTTGTACAATCTGAAACAACATTGAATGATACATTTGATCTGTGCGTTTGATCGGGCGTGAGAATGACGTATATTCAAAAATATATGGTAGAAAATAGGTTAGAACAAATTACTTGTAAATAACTTATTAAGAGTATTATGGTGTAGGTCCGATAATAAAACATTTTTAATGCGGCCTCTTTGTAAATATGTACCGGTCTCAAGCCCGATCAAACGCAGAGAGCAAATGTTTAATTTCAATATTATATCAGATTGTATAAAAAAATAGTTCATTTACATTACTTATTTAATCAATTAATTTATATATTATTTAAATAAATACATATAGACTGATAGAATATGAAATTATTTATTTGTTGAAGGCAATTGCAGCAAGCAACGTTGGAACTGCACGAGTAGCGGACGTTCGAGCGGCCGAGCGGTTAGCGCGAGGTTCGTTTCATTTTAGTGCTGTCTTAATCCTAATAGCGGGCACTTGATTTTCTCAACGATTTCTTATGTAAAAAATGAACTATTTCTTTATACAGTCTGATATAATATTGAAATTAAACATTTGCTCTCTGCGTTTGATCGGGCTTGAGACCGGCACATATTTACAAAGAGGCCGCATTAAAAATGTTTTATTATCGGACCTACACCATAATACTCTTAATAAGTTATTTACAAGTAATTTGTTTTAACCTATTTTCTACCATATATTTTTGAATATACGTCATTCTCACGCCCGATCAAACGCACAGATCAAATGTATCATTCAATGTTGTTTCAGATTGTACAAAACAATAGTTCATTTATATTATTTATATTACTTTACTCAGATTACTTTATATTATGTTATATTAAGTTAATAAGCCTTAAATTACATTTAATTTAAATTTAATTACTTATTTAATTAACTAATTTATATATTATTTCAATAAATACATATAGACTGATAGAATATGGAATTATTTATTCGTTAAAGGCATTTGCCGCAAGCAACGTTGGAACCGCACGAGTAGCGGACGTTCGAGCGGCCGAGCGGTTAGCGCGCGGTTCGTTTTATTTTAGTGCTGTCTTAATCCTAATAGCGGGCACTTGATTTTCTCAACGATTTCTTATGTAAAAAATGACAAGGAACACGATGGTGCAAAAATTAAAAGAAAAAAATATCGTTTTTTAAGATATCGTCGATTTTTTGAAAAAATTGTTTATAACAATGACATAAATTAATGATTTGGTATTTTACTATTTACATTTTAAAAGTGAAACTCTTTCCACTTCTTTTAAAAAAAGAATCATGTCCATATCTTTATTAGTCTCCGAGAAATCGAATTAATAAAAAAAAGTTCAATATTTTTTCAACAGTTGATAATTCGCCCCTTATCAAAATTTTGATCTAAAACTCTGCACAGATGTTGACCTCTGTATAGGTAACAAGTCTACCAACTTTGAACAAAATTGGTGATTTGATGTTTTAAACTGTTTGAAATAGCCAAGAATTGCCCTGCTTTGAGATCCCGGTCCCATAGCTACGTATAAATGCGGACGGATACGGACGCGAATCGCAACTCTAGTAACATCACTAAAATTATCTAGTTCGATTATTTAGTACCAACACTACCAGTAGTGAGCAAAAGTGACTGTTGTTTAAAACTGTAACGCCGTACGTACCACATTTAATGAACGCCTATCTAACCTATACATTATTTCAGTCTATAAGATGGAAAATAATAGATAATTGATAGACTTGCAACTGCAATGAGTGGAATTAGGCCTTAATTTTACGGAAGTACTTTAATATATTAGAAGAAGAAGGAAACTATTCCGACGATGGTGGAGTAAACCTCATATCAGGCGTAATTATTTGACAGGATATAATGGTTACCATAGGGTGTTTAAATATTTCAAACTCAATGATGAAGACGAATTTATTAATTTCACAAGAATACCTGAACACATTTTTGAGTACTTATATCAACTGGTTCGTGTTAGTTTGATTAAAAGGAGTAGGAGGCCACCTTTACCAAGTGAATTAAGATTGAGTTTAACATTAAAGTACGTATGAATATTAATGTATTAACATTTAAAATTAAAATACTCACATACTTATGAATTGCCAAAATATATAGTTTCTTTTATAAATGCGTATATGAAATGTGATCATTTTTGTTTCAGTTATTTAGCACATGTTGATAGTATTAAGAAAAATATGTGGTTTTATAATATTGGAGAAACTACTATAAAAAAAGTGATACCTGAAGTATGCACTGTTATATATGAAACTTTAGCACCAATATTTCTCAAATTTCTTTCACTTCTACAATTCCATGTAATAGCAAATGAGTTTATGTCAGATCTTTTTTATCACAATTGTATTGGAGCTTTGGATGGTAAACATTGTAAGATAAAAAAGCCACCCAATAGTGGAAGTCTATTTTACAATTACAAAAAATTCTTCAGCATAGTGTTGATGGCTTGCTGTGATTCAAAAAAACGCTTCATATGGGCTAATATTGGAGATTATGGTATGTTGATCATCAAAATATACCTAAATAATGAAAAAAAGAATATTAAGTTTTCATTGTAAGAATTACATCTTAGCAATTTTACTGGTTCATTAAACGATGCCAGTATTTTTGCCTATAGTGATCTTGGACATGCCCTTCTACAAAATGAAATTCAATTACCACGTTCTACACAGTTACCAAATTCACAAATAGTCTTTCCTTTTCATTTCATTGGAGATGAGATATTTCCATTAAAAACATATTTAATGAAACCATTCGTTAGAAATAACCATTTAACCATGTTATAAAGGGTCTTTAATTAGAGGATGAGTTTTGCTCGGAAAATAATTGAAAGCGCTTTTGGTGAATTGGCATCGGTTTGGTTAATTCACCAATCATCTTTGGATTGGAAACTTTCAACGACAGAAAAAATTATTATGAGTACAGTATGCCTGCATAATATGCTACTGGATTTCAAATATAACGAAGTAGGCAATAGATGGAATAATATCAACAATCAACAAGTGCTGCCAAACGAACCTCAAGATGTAGAAAATATAATACAACATTTTAGGTTACGTGAACAATTGTGTATATACTTCGTTTCACCTCAAGGTTCTGTCCCATGGCAGTGGGAAAAAATGTAAATTTTGTGATCACATATAAAGATGAAAAATATATTTTATTATCAACGAGAAACTAATTATTAAATTCTTTTTACCATATTAAATAAAAAAACATAGAATATTAGGCTATTTTTGAATAACATTGCTAAAAATAAGATTTATAGCCTATTACAATTAGAAATAGTTGATTCTTTATAAAAAAGTCCAAGTACATGGCAGTGGGAAAAAATATAAATTTTGTGATTACATTACATTATAAAGATGAAAAATGAATTTATCAACGAGGAAACAATTGTTGAATTCTTTTTACCAAAAATTCATATTTATTGAGCAGTTCGGTGGCATACAAAAATTGTTACAATAACTTAATAACTTAAATAACTTAATCAATTTTCTTTTTTTTCTTTGTCAAATTTTTCTAGTTCCTCAATAATGATCTCCAAAACCTCGTTTTCAAACCCAGCTGGAATTTTATTAACAGAATCAAGTAAAATCATTTTATAATCTAATTCTGGTGACTCGTATGAATCCACTTGGTTAGGTATCATCTCTTCATTTTTTTCATTTTCTGCTACTTTTTTGTTAATATTGTCTAAAGTTTGCAAAATTTTTTGCCCTATAATCTTCATATTTTCATCTTCTTCAGTAAACTTTTCATTTTTTTCTTAGCAAATCCATCAGATTCAGGTACGTTTAATAACCTGCGTTTGTTGGATGGAGATGAATCCTTATCAACTGTCGGAATTGAAAAATGCATTGTTTAAATTTTTTGACAATCCTAAGGAATTACCTAAAAATAAAGGGGTTGTTTATAGTTAAAATTTATTAAATTGTATGAATTAAATTGTACTATACTCTCCAGAATGAATTAAATTGTACTATACTCTCCAGGTGTTCTTGAAGCTAGTTCTATAGACGATAATGATTTCTTATTTTTTACGCCTGATAGTAAAAAGGATAAGCTTTCAAAATATGGAAAAGTGTTTGTACTATGTGCTGCAAAATCAGACTTGGCAGAATTTTCAAAAGCTAATTGTTGCTTAAACTTTTTTACCAAATCTTTCCATGATCTAACGATGTCAGCAACTGTAAAAATACAAATTAATTGATTATAAAAATATAATTAACATAAAAATCACTAAACTTAATGTAAATACTGTATATAAAAAATAAAATTATAACCTGTTTTGTGAATATTTAATTCTTTCAAATAGTTGGAGAAAATAGACAGTTCGTCTAATTTTTCTACTGTGATGGAATATCCATCTTCCATTTTTTCATATAAAGCAGGATTATTCATATAAAAATTAATGAGTATGTCATAAAATGTATTTTCTTGTAAATTTGATTGTTTCATTGAATCTGCCATCTCCAATTATTTAAAAATGTAATTCTTTTTTGCGCTATGTTCCGATGGATCCACTAAAAAATTCAAATTCAAATAGTTAAATAATTGTAAGATGTTAATTAAAATAGGCGGATAATAGTACACTACAGTTTTCAGTGTTTGAACATCAATACGCATAAGGCTGTGTGCGTTTTTTGTCTTTGTTAGACATATTCTCACACACACACACATACACACACAAGCCAATAAATTAGAAATTTACGTGACAGTCACGATTATTCTCCTTTGTTTAATCTTGGATATTCAAGTAGTTATTAAACCGTAAAATCAATTTTGATAATAATGAATCGCCGAGAAAAATTTATTATAAAAAAAGTTATTGAAGATGATCCTAATGCATTTTTATATTCTAAATCTGATGTTAGACATGGTGATAAGGGGCAGACTGAAAACTTTTTTATTATGTGAAAAATGCTATGGAAGACGAATTATATGAAGTCGTAGAAGGTAATTATTTTTCGACACTCCATGCAGAAAGTGCGTTTTTCCCGCACGCTCGGCAAAGAAGGTGTGTTGAAAATCGCACTTTCCGCACGTCGTATCAAAAAATACGGTACGGCACATGTTCGGGAAAGAGTTTCTCATCTCGTGTACCTTTCTACCCTCACTTCGCTCGGGCGTAAACGCCACGCGAGACAAGAATCTACTTGTATCACTTGTATCGTAATGTACTAATAAATGTAAAACGTAAAATGTAATTATAAAAATAGTAAAAAAATTATAATATGTAACGTAAATTTAGTTGTTAAACAAATTTTTTTTTACACCAGCATCAGAAATTCAAAATACATGGTACAAAATGAGGCAGAAATTTGTTAAATTAAATTTTAAAAAAACACGCAAGGAAATGCTGTCAGATGATGCAGAAAGTTTTTATAGGATGTTAATTATGTTGGAAAACCTTATCTCGCACAATAAGGATCCTGTTTATAAAACACATAATCAAAAAGATATTATGCAAGAAGTCTACGATGAGTTAATGGGAAACACAGAAGAAGACCCTCTCAATTATTCTGATTCTGAGACAGCAGAGTTAGAAATTCTTGATGGTTATGAAGATTTTGTACTTACAAACATCCAAAAACAGCATGTTAACCTATTTTGTTTAAATGCCGAGGTTGGACCTTCATCGAGGCAGCTATCTTCTAGATTAATCGCTTGGCAGCCAACACCAGTCACGCAGCTTGGTTCTTTTAAAAATAATGAGGCTGGACCTTCCTCTCAGCAACTTCCATCGATATGGAATGCTCCAGAACCAAAAGCACTTATGCAGGTTGCTGCTGTGAGAGCTAGGAACGACAAATGTCAATTAGAAATTGTAATTAAAAATAAAGAATAATGTGGTGGAGATTTTGTACCAGGCACTTAGGGAATCACAAGATAAAAAAATAAAGAAAATGCGTTTTTATGTAATCCAACAAACAATAGAAAAAGCTTTGAAAAAATATAATCAATAAACCACTTTTTATAACTAAAGCTTAGAATATAAATTAATTTCTCATTCAAATACCTCAATATACCTTCTTAAATTATATTATAAATATATTAAATAATTTTACCACATCATTTTGATAACTGTTCTTTCAACAAATGTTTTAATTTTATTCGGTGACAAAACATTCCAAATCTTGGTGATATATAAACTAATCATTCTGAAATTCTGAAATAAAAATAAAAATCTCATTATTTGTAACTACACAAAAATTTTAGGTTAGAGATGGCTACATTTGAATAAAGTTTACTTACTCCGCTTCCTTTATTAGTTTAAGTAATCGTAAATATTGTAGAATGGAATTGTGATAATGTCGTAATCTCTCCATGTGTTTCTTAGTCTCAATTATTTTGAAGCAGATACAAAATATATATGCTCCAAAATAATTGAGACTAAGAAAGAATATGTCGGCTGTTGCCGAGCCGAAAGTGCTGGAACTATTATAATATGGAGGAAGGAACGCAGAAGACCAGAGAAGGGATGCGCGCGTGTTTGTGTTTATTTGGCAATGACCTTATTTATCTTGTGTATAGGTACACATATTATTGCATCATATTATGAAGATGAAAAATAAATTTTATCAACTAAAAACAATTATTAAATTCGTTTTATAAAAAATTCATATTTATCAGGCAGCTTGGTAGCATACAAAAATTGTTACAGTAAATCGTCTTAATAATAACTAAATAAATTTTATCCTTTGTCTCTTGAAAAAATTTTTCTACTAATTTGATTGTTCCATTGATTCTGCCAAATTCAGGTTATTATAAAAACACGGGTGATACAAGATTAGGCAGAAATTTGTTAAATTGAATTTGAAAAAAACAAGCAAGGAAATGCTATCAGATGATACAAAATTTAACAGGGTTTAAGAGAATTAATAATATAAGAGCAAAATATGATTAAATTTATGAAACTATATGAGATTGAGTACCTATAACGTTACGTTTCATGTTATTTTTCTTTACAATTATTATTATAATCACTGATTATTCTAAGTATTTTCCAAAGCACAAGTCTCTGTGTTCGAGAATCTTTATAGTTTTTAGTTTTCTCATTCAAAATAATTATCAACTCATTCAGAGTATTTCTTTTTGTATTTTCAAGAAAGTTCTTTACCTTATTGGTAATAGCAATTGACACAGTTTCTTTACTTTTAATGCTTGACATAATTTCATATTTTCCAGCTTTGCTTTTGTGATCTTTTTTCTTAATAAAAGGTTATAAATAAAACATCCTTTGATAAATACATTTCTGCAAAAAGGTTAAATTCTGCTTGGCTTCAACCAAATTATCTGCTTTTACAAAAATATCTCTGAGATTTCTATATTTAAATTTAATCTGTTCCACTAAAGAAAACACTATAAATGATATGTATTAATCATCCCAAAAACTTTTTTTACATTAGTATACTCACCGATAATCAATATTCATGCGAATTTGAAAAGTAAATTGTATACCTGACTTTTGAACAGCTTGTTCTGTTTTTATACGTTTCTGAATTTTCTCCAAAACAGCACGTTTATGATCTTCTAAATAGTACTTCTCATCTTCAGGGTCAAACATAAATGTATTTCCAGCGTACGTTTCCATAATGATCTTTTCAATAGGATTCATTTCTCACAATTATATCAACTGCAAATATTATAGCATTTATTTATTTCACATGCAAATATTTGTCATCATTAAATAATTTCACAACTAAGGATTAAATATTAACATGACTTTTGCATTACTTACTCAAAAGTGATACAAGTTTAGCCTGTGGCACAGTTCATTGACGGAATATAAACAAACGCTATAGGTTAGATAAGCGTTCATTAAATGTGGTACGTTCGGCGCTATAGTTTTAAACAACAGTTACTTTTGCTCACTACCGGTAGTGTTAGTACTAAATAATCGAACTAGATATTTTTAGTGATGTTACTAGAGTTGCGATTCGCTTCCGAATCCGTCCGCATTCATACGTATAGCTATGGGCCCGGGGCCTGAATTCTCAGTGATGAGCATTCAGTCATCCATCCTAAACTTCTTTTTTTCCTATTCGTAACGCATCTAGGTCTGTTGTACACTTGTGGCTGTTCTATCATCATATCGTGTTTGAAAACCGCGTTTAAATTA